GCCTAATAAATGTACAAAAATTGAACGAAAAACCCGAAAAAACAAATATGTAACACAGCAACAAACAACAACCACTAAACTACAGGCTTGACTTGGGACAGGCACATACATACATAATGTGGCGGGGTTAAACATGTTAGTGGGATCCCAACCCTCCCCCTAACCTGGGACAGTGGTGTGACAGTACAACATAAGAACGAAATAATAAAAATCAGTTGAAAAAGGTTTAAATCATCAGATGGATACAAATAGAAATACATCTAACACAAACACATAGTGGACGTGGCTGGGTACTTATACATCCCATGCATTATGTATGCGTGTTCCACGTCGATGGTTATAATTTAATTACAATTTTTGGCTTTGTACTACATGGGTAACATAGAGATGAGTTGCTGTCTCCTCAAAAGATATTATACCTTATTTATAAGTAAAACTGGATCATAACCTTCATGGGGTATTAATTGGTCATCCTCAGAATTCCCGCTCCACATTTTCAAAAGTTGTTTGAGAAATTTTATATTTTTAAACGGAAAATGTCAATGATTTCTAGGAACTTTGTTCAATATGAGGTATTCCATAAAACTGACCAAGGCTTAAAATACTGTAAAACTGATTACGTCGCATTTGCCTTATTGTGAATTGCAGCAATATTCAGATTTACTTATGTAACTGATACTTACTAATACATATTTGTTTAAAATAATATTCATTTCAATTCTTTTCTTTAGTAGTTGTTGGAAAACTTAAAGGCTATTGTTATAAGCTAGCCATGATAATCCAGTCATTAGATGATGGGTGCAAATTATTAACTTCAGCAGAGGAACTAAAGCCGGGGCAGTTAGACCAGAAATTCATTGAGAACATAAAGAAAGCTTTGTCCGAAAATTTTGAAAATAATTGTAAAATAAGCCTGCAAAACACAAAAAGTGCGATAACCTTGGCTAAGTATTTCTTCCACCACAAAAAGTACATCTCTGGGTACACTGTATCGGGAATGGTTAATGCCCCAAACACTTGCAATGTATTAGCAAACAAAATTCTTTTGTATGTTGGACTGACGGTGCAATGCAATAACATCACAAGAAACAGCAGACACACAGCTGAGCAAGTTAAACTTGAAATGAGAAAATTGTCAGAATGCGGATTAGGTACCACCGCACAAGAGAAACCTCAGGGTGGTGGTAGATTGATGGTGATCTTCAATAAAAAAGCAATCGAAAATTTAAGTATGGAAGAGTCAGCAGTATTCACTCCAATGCTGGCTGTACATGGAGTAGATTATATTGACTATGTTAATTCAATAGAAAACGATGAGAACATTCCACGTGTAAAAAGACAAAAACTGACTTAAATTGGACAATAATGAGTTTGTAGAAATATGCTAGTTTTATAGAATTATATGTTCATGTATCCAAATTGTCCGTGGCTTATTTGTTTGAATGTATAGTTCTTTATACTTTCAATACTGTTATATTTTGTTTATAAACATAAGGGTGTTTTGGTAAATTGACATCTGGAGTTGTTAATATTATATTATTGATTGTAATCATTAATAAGGAGAAATAGTAATCCACGATTAAACGATGTAATTTTATTAAAGGTATTTTTAATTCATTTGGCCATGAAGGGCAATCAGAGCTATTGTATCACTATGTTTCCGTCGTATGTCATCTGTAAACTTTTTGAATACGCAAACTTTTTGAAACTTGGTATGCATGATCTATGACATGTCAAGATTATCAAGTAGACACCAATGGAGTAGGAACTTCCCACTTACAGGCAGCCAGATCTGGATGGTCCGATACAAAACAAGAAGAATCAAACACAAGAGCACAGCAAATATCTAAGTATCCAATTTAAAATTAAAAGGTTTAATAAGACAATGACACATCCATGACCAAAACACTCCTGACTTAGCATAGGCGCAAATAAATGCGGTGGAGTTTAACTGAGTTTTGTTGGATCCAAACAGTCCCCCTCTGCCTAGTCAGAGATGAAAAAGAAAAATACAAAAAGTACCCACAGTAAAAATACATTCTTAATGTATCCAATCCAAAAAAGGAAACGCCACATGACAATTAAACATAAAAAATACAAAAAGTGCTTTTTAAATAGATAGCTCGCACTTACTGAAAGCTAGATAAGGATACATTTATAAAAGATCAGTTCTCGAAATTGCCAATTTAGACTTTTTACCGGCATTCCTCTTCCATTAAAATAGGTCTAGAGTTATAGTTTCATAAACTAAAAAGACAAAATATGAAGTCGTACAATGCCAATTATGAAACATATACTGAGTGTATCGTATAACTAACACAGTAATATCGGCGTTGTCAACAATGTAGACAGCAAGTACGACGATGTAGACGATGTTGTAACAATGTTGTCAACTTTGCGATGTTGGCAATGCCAACGATGTTGACAGAGAAAGGGGATGATATAGACGATGTCGTCACGATGTTGTCAACATCGCGATATCGGCGATGTCAACTATGTAGACAGAAAGAAAAACGATGTAGACGATGTCGTCACGATGTTGTCAACATCACGATGTCGGCGATGTCAACGATGTAGACAGGAAAGGTTGACGATGTAGACGATGTTGTCACGATGTTGTAAATATCACGATGTAGGCGATGTCAACGATGTAGACAGGAAAGGGGGACGATGTAGACGATGTCGTCACGATGTTGTCAACATCATGATGTCGGCAATGTCAACGATGTAGACAGGAAAGGGGACGATGTTGACAATGTTGCGAGCAGATATAAAAGCATGAACGAAGTTGATAATATCGGCGATATCGTCACTACATCGTGCACTGGACATACCACGTTTATCTGAGTAGAAAATGTTGGTTAAATTATCGATACTGGACGTCACAAAAACAATTAATCAATGAATTAGACAATATGGAATGTAAGGCTCTTTACTTTAAACAAGAAATCAATCTATCAATCAATCATCCAATTCATCCAACGACCAACCACCCGATCGATAGAAAGAAAGATCTTGTCACTTGATATAAGTCAAACATTTTATCGACAAACCAATCAAACAATCAACAAAAAATCATGTTTAACTTCAAAAAATTAAAACACGTTATCAATTTCATGCGTCCGAAGCGCTTTTCTGGATTTACCTTCATCAAGAACGCTCAAAGCCGAATATTTGAAAGCCAAGGATGAATAAGGACCGAATACGTATAAGAGCTTTAAACCAAAAAAGACCTATTATAGAATTAACAAAATCCATCTAAGGCCAACTTTGCCTGAAATATGGAATGTATTTCATTATCATTTTTTTTCTAAAATACATATATGCTACAACAATTGTTACATTTTTATTGGTAGCAATGTAATAATTGATGTTAATGAACCAAGAAGACCAAGTTAACTAATAACGACATTCATACTTTTGAGCTGGTCCCTTTTTTGAATGTCTCAACTGTAGACTCTCGACTCTCAATTGTCAATTAGAAACATTTTGCTAAAGCGTCCAGAAGGCTCTTCGAAGCAGTTTATAACAATTTAAACTAGTAAATTAAAGAATTGAAATACAAAATTTGATGTTGGAAAGATCAAATTGCATTAACATTAAGTCGAAGAAAGACAGACAAGACCATCAAAGAAATTAAAGCTGAACACATCACTCTCAGATCGATACTTTCAAACTATTTATCATACATTTATCACCGTTTTTTTTTCTATGTTGGACTGTTAAACCATTGTCAAAGTTATGGAGATGTTTGAGCTCCCGCACACATATGTCCCCCATCCGCATTTTTAATGCACCTGTCATAAGTCAGAAGCCTGTAAATAAACTCATGATAGATACCAGGATAGAATTGTGTACGCCAGGCGCGCGTTTCGTCTAAAAAAAAACCTCATCAGTCACGTTTGAATAAAAAAAGTTAAAAACGTCAAAAAAAGTACGAAGTTGAAGAGCATTAAGGACCCACAATTCCTAAAGGTTTTCTCTAACAGCTACGGATATCTTTTCCTGGGGTAGAAAATCCTTAATACTTGGGTTGTCGTTTCTGCCAGTATATACCTTTAAATTCGTTTATAGTTACATGTATCTGTAATTATCATGCTGTGAGTTGTCTTGTTTAGATTGTCTAACAGTTGCTGTGACGTCGGAAAACCTTTTAGATAATGAATGAGCATCGTATTTTAAATATTTAAAGACTTTTGAACAAACACAGTGTTTGCAAATCTTAAAAAATATCCCTGCCTTGATTTTATTTCTGTTGTGACCCTGATTTTGTCAGTCATTAAACTATTGTTTTCTTTTGTCGACCGCTCCAGGGCTTCATAGCCAGTCGAGGTCGTTAGACACCATTGTATTAGTATTAAACTATTGCTCGTATTCCTTTCGGCATTTAATTGATTTGCATACTTAGTTAAACAAAAAAAAAACCTCTGAAAATGGTCAGAACTGTACTGAATCGACTACAAATTATAAATGTTAGAAAACTGGCAGAAAAATAAAGCAACTTTGTAAAATAAAATTTAAATTTTTGCGGATAAAACACTAAAAAAAGAAATCAAAATCTTCATACCGCTGATTGTAGAGACACAGCGGGTTGATTTTTCCTACCCGTCTTCAACGTGTATTTGCAACCACTCTGACATTATCAGTATTCTGTTCATCATAAATTTCTCAACAGTGAATGATTTAAAAAATATGTTACCTTTTTATTTGATTATACATCTAAGTACCGCATATTTTGTTATTTCATAATTATTGATCTGCCATGTTCAATTCGATACCGAACATAAACCTATTTCAAATGTGTTGATGCCGTGGTATAATTGAAATTTATCTAATAGTATTTAAAGTTTTATAAACACTAGTTTTCTCGGTCAAACTCTGGTACAATTTCTATTTCTTTGCCTCAAATTTTTAGTGTTATACATATCTTATTCCACAGTGAGTAGTCACGCTTTTTTCATAAATCTATAAAATGTATAAACCGAAACATTTATGAAGAATGTGATTGTATGGTCAAGGTCATGGTCTCTTTAAATGAAATCTCAAGCTAAAAAATGTTAAACTAAAAGTTCAACAAATTTGATCACTTACTTCTGAGGTGTTATTGAAGCAGAACCAAATTTGAAAGCATTTTTTGGTTTGACAGTAGCTAATTACAGTTTTCAACTAATAAGGTAAGACGTTGTAAACATATTTATACAATGTTGTCATTGTTACTGATAGAAACCTCCGTCAAACAGATAACTACATTTGACCAAGATATGTGATATTAAGAACGAATTGTGTTTTTGGTTTATTTAGATATGACTATCACCAGACAAACATAAACAAAACAGCAATGTATTATTCTTAAATTAATAAAATATTTGTTTAAGTTTCTACAAGGAAGAAAATCATGTTTATTTCCAATGCCAAGACTTGTTTAATTTGTGGCCATGATAATCATGCGTTTTAATGTTTTTTAACAATAATAAAAGAACTCAGACATTTTCAGCCCTGTCTTAAATGTTACACTTCTCCACTCGCAAATTTCATAAACCGACAAAATTTAGCTTTGTGTTTTTTCCCATGGTGATTTGTGTATATTCTAAATTTAGAAAACCTATATATATGGCACACAATATTTTGACGGCATAGTTATATAAAAACATTTTTTTATAATGCATTAACACAATTTTTCATCACGATTCTGCAGCATGAATTTCAAATAAAAACGTTTCCAAAACTTAGTCTATAGATTTATTTTGATGAGGCTCTTATTGCTCCGTTTTTGTTGATCTATATAATTATACTGTTGTTTTTCGTTTTGTCGGGGTTTTTTTCCATGTCATTGTATGTTCGTTTTCGAAAAAGACGGTTGATTATTCCTTTGATATATTTTGCCTCTCTTTTGCGCTCTTTTTTGATCTTTGGAAATAAGGATTGCAGATATTTGATAGGGAAAGTCAAAGCAAGACCACACGTTAAGAATGATATTGTTCTAAAAAATGGACAAAACAATACACAAAAAAAAATAATTTAAATATCCACACTTCGAAAGCTACAATGTTTTGTTTTGTATGCATATGTACTTAATATATGCAGTTTATACATCATGAAGACAAACACATATTGCACACATGAAAAATGCACACTTCTTTGAAACGGGCCAACAAAATACAACATATCAGCTTAGTAACATTAAAAATCTGGACATGGTTATTATTAATTTGGTTTTTCTTTTAGAGTTTGAATCTTTTAGATCAATTTATAAAAAAACAAAACATGGTTTATTATGGCAGCGATTTTGTTTTGTAGTCCCCGCATAACCTTCCATAGTTTGTTTCTGTTTTTATGTTAAATCCGTTCACAAGATACAAAATACAAAATTTAGATTTTGTTTGATTTAAACGCATCTACTTATTAGGAGGATTTTACTTTACATACAGGTGGGTGCAGGTCTAACATATACATGTACAAACATTAGCTTTAAGCAGTACTTATGATGTTAACGTTTTTAAATTTTTGCAGACCTGCAAATTTACTTTATTCTTATCAGACCAGACCTATGTCTGCTTTTGTAGGACTGCTTTAGACCTGATATGCAGACAGGTCTAATGCAGCAGACCTATCCTCAGAACAGGCCAGCTTGTCCAGACCAGACCTGAGGACATGTCTAATGTAGAAGACCTGTCCTCATGACCGGTCAGCTTGATCAGACCAGACCTGTGAACAAGTCAGACTGACCAGACCAGTTGACAGGATAGCTTGACCAGACCCACCTGTGAACATGTATGATGTTCATATGTCCTGTGGACAAGTCTGCATTTTGACAGACAAGTCATGTCAGTCATGGGGACAGGTCTGCTTTTTATTCGGTCTGATGGATATATCATTCTTTACCAAACTTGTTGATACATGTATGTGTTGATACTCAAATGATTTTCATCAATCAAAGCGGTCCTGTTTACTAGTTAACTTTCGATCATGTTAAATTTATCAGACCAAACTAAAGTTAACTTATTCAAGAATAGATTTGTTTCGGACAAAGCAGTCAACATCAATGACTGCTTTTAAAAGCACACCTGGTCACAAGTTAACTTGTTGTGTAGGACTGGTTGTGGCAAAGTTAACTTCAATATTGGACCTGTCATAAAGCTAATTTTTCGGGCAGTCATAAAAACAGTTCTTGGACCAAGTAAACATTTATTCTGTCTTATGACTGATCTTGGCAGTAATAAATCCTATCCCAAATTTACTTTCACCTGTCATAAAGTCTGGTCATCAAGTTAATTAGCTGTACAGATTAGGACTGCAACCTTCTGCACGTGGTTGTTTTTCTTTCTTTTTTTTTATATTTTTGTTTGAACCACAGGGAATCGATAATTCAAGGGTGGCAGATTAAATGTTTAGAAATAAATTGAGCAGTGTTAACAATTTTGATATACACAAAATTTGTTTTTCTCAACAAACGTTCTCACTATTTAGCTAATATTTAACTGACAATGGAAGCAGTTCCATCTGACAAAGAGTGTTGGTATTACATGAAACTTGTCACCTTCATCCTAGGAATTGGAATGGAGGTTCTACATACTTATTTTGAGCAGAATATTTTGAATGCAAAAGAACATTTGGAGTTTTACATGTTCTTAGATGACAATAAACATTATTTGTTTCATGAATGCTATCCTAGAGTACAGTGCTGTAAGTGTTTTCAACATTGTCTTGCTTCTCCTTCTCAAAAAGGATGTTTAAATAAAAAACAGTTCATGTTATTGTTTGATATCGGCCCTCTAACTGAAATGGACCATTATCAAACAGGAAGACATAATGATATAACCAAAGAGTGTTTATGCAGAATCATCGCAAAACGATCTAATGATGTTGACTGTATGGATATAACTCTTATGTACGCAATTGTCCAATCATGCTGTTTCAAAAATAGTACAGTCATACACGGAAATCCAAGATGTATTGAAGTTATCAAAGATACGAGAAACTTTTTGGCACATGTACCTAATGCACGTATTTCTGAATCTGAGTTTGACAGAAAGTGGTCTGAGACTGAGCAAGCTATTTTAGAAATAGGTAGCTCATTGGGAAATTATTTTGCTAAAGTGAACAAAAGGAAAGTCGATGAATTCAAAAATAGTGAATTATCAATGAAAGCAATCAAAGAAATCATCGAGAACAATGTTGATGAAGTTAAAAAGGTAGGATTTATACATTTTCTTATTCATACATACACAATTGCCTTACGATAGATAAATCATTTAATTAAAATACATGGTCAACAAAGAAACGTTGTTCTTAAATTTATTTTGATATTTGGATATACATTGTTATCATAACGTTTCACATGTAATCGAATAAAGTTAGAATTTGAAATAAAACAACGTAAAAGGCAATTAAGGCAAATAAATAACACCAAACATAGCAAAGTGAAACATAAAATGTAACATGTGTAATCGACTATGATAATTTAAGAAACAAAGGAAAATAGCAAATTAAATATCCAAATTAAAAACAATTCGGCATGCGCTCTTAAATTTAAAAGCTTAAATTGCGAATATGCGTTTGTCATACTCTGAAAAAGACTCAAATTACAAAATCCCAATTATTTAATACTTGTAGGATCTTCAAGCCCTTATTGAAGACCAGAAGAAAAGCACATTGCTGGTAAAGGATGAGATCATTGCACACCTCACAAAGTATAAAGGTAATTTAACTTTAAAGATAAACATTACAAATTTTGTAATTCAGGCTGTTTCTACGTGTGTGTATAATGATCTAACACTTATTTGTACTGTTTATTAAAACATATCAAAACAAAACTAGTCAGGGGTTAACACATATATGTAGATATTCAAACTATATATGTATATGCTAACATCAAGATTTGTTTGATATCAAAGATGCTTTCACATTATTAGACGGTGTCTTTTCCTACAAATATACAAATTGGTGTGAATTGTTTTATGAAAATTGATATAACGTTTATTTATTTGTCATATTTAGCTTATAAGTTATAGTGTAACTTCAGTACATGTTTTTAACATTTGTTTTTAAATATTTATTATACCACATTTTTACCAGCAGGTGTTAAATGCTCATCTTTATTATCCAATTTTGATGCTCAGGTAAAAATGAATCAAATAAAGTCGATACAAATATATATGGTTGTCCGCCTTCCCGTTTTTATCTATTAAATGTTTGGTTCTTTCAAATCATTGTTTGTGTTTCATGCACTGTTGCTTTTTCTTTTACTATCGTGTATTTTTTATTTTTATTTTCTATTGCTGGTTTGTATCTTTATAAACTTTAACAACTTTGGAGACTATATTTAAACTGGCCAAAACAAAGTAAACCATCACCGTTTGTGATATCAGGTTTTGCATTGTCATATATGTTTGCATTGATCATCAAGAAAGAGACATTAACTCGTATCGTGAATTTTGCTACTAACGCTAAAGGGACTGTTCGTCCCAAAAATATCTTCAGCACAAGACCCAGTACCAAAGCAAACGGATATTGTGTTATCAAAATGATTATATTTTGGAAAAAAAATATTGATTAAGGTCTAAAGATACCAAATGGACATTCAAACTCCTAAGTCTAAAATAAACTGATAACGCCATGTCTAAAACATAAATCGACAAACAGATAAACAATAGTACACAACACACAACATAGAACACTAAAGACTGAGCAACACGACCCTACCAAAAACTGGGGTTGATCTCATGTGAATTATTTTTGTTAAGCATAGTTTTCATTCATTTTCCTTTTTTTATTTTTTTTTTTTTTATATATCTTTTTAAGTCCTTTTCGGTTTATCACATCTTCAACATTTGTATCTGGTTTTGGAATTTGTCATAAATGTTAGTCTGTAGTATCACTAAAGATCCATTACTTGTCCAAACGAATATCAGGCACAGTAAACTTTGAACCATCAATATTATATGAAGTTATGAAGTTACTGAGCAATAGTTCTTTTGCAGATTTTTCTTTATTCTATTTTTGCTCATTTCTACATAATTTTTCATATTTTCATATGAATAAGATGAACTCTCAGTTGATATCAGGAATCTCAGATTTGAAGTAAAGCAATATACATTAGCTTCTTGTTCTACAGAGGAGACATTCGACATAGAAGGTACATTGTGCTTTTTTATTAATTTATGATATCGTAAATTTGGTTGCATTTATTAAGACAATTTCAAATTATTTAGCGCTTGGCCCAATACAAAACCCTCTTTTCTGAGTATCGTCATAACATCGTTACCTTCATATCGAACTTGCTGACTAATAAAGAAAGAATAAAAAAAAAGTATTGTCAGAACACGACAAAACAATTTTGTCTGCGACTCAAGCCTGTTATTACTTCCAAAATAGATCTAAATGAAAAAAAGAGCTACATGTTTCTATGGAAATTGTCGTAATGTCTTCCCATTTGATATAAGCAGCATTTTTATTTCAAATCGAATTTCAAAAAAGCAATGCTGCATGTAAATGAAATAATAATTATCATATTCCCTATTTAAAGTAATATTAATTTGATGTAAATAAAAAAAAAATATCATTCACACATTGAACTGTGGAAGCACAATGCCAAAGCATGTTTATATGTATTTATTTGATAAATAATTTTTCACAAAACAAATATAGACCATGCGAATATTTTTAAATCTTTTTTCCGGAAATAAGTGTTGAGAGCGCCCTTAACTATTACATGCCCCCGCCAAATGTGTCTCGTTCAAGAACAGAGGTATTAGCAAAGCATTCATTTGTAAATTAAATTCTTCCATCCGCAAAACTGATTGTAAAGGTGATTTTAAAATTGAATGACACCACACGTAACAGAAGATGTTGCTCTGGCCAACAAAATCAGTGCTGTGTACAGTCTTATAGACTGTGAATTTGACTAATTTCAGGACACTGTTTTACATATAGCACTAACTGCTCTAATAACTAGGTGTGCAATTGACGTCGCCGTCGTTAATTGATTCCGTAAATGGCGTAGGTTGGCGCGATTTCAATGGTACAGTGTCGTTACTTGCGATTATGTGGTTCTAGGGTGACGTTTTTCAGTTTCGGTTAATCCGTAGAGTTGAAACATACGATTTATTGTTTAGTTGCTTACAGAATATTAAAACTTCTTGCAACAGCACGTTGACTGATTCCTGTCTGTAACATTTCGATAGCTTGATTTCGAATGTTACCATAAAGTCGCATCATTGCAACTTCCAAAAACATTCCGATGGCTTGATATCGATTTTATCACGGAGTCGGGGCATTACAACATCCAAAAAAATAAACCTTAACTTGTTATTCATTTTAACAAGGTCATTGCATGTTCTTGATACATGTATCAAAACCAGTTTGCAAATTTTTCAGTAATCTGCAGTTAATTGTTACGAATTTCATGCTCATCTGTTTGTTTCCCTGTATTTACCTGGATTGCTCATGTGGGTCATTGAATTATTTTTTTACTCTCCAGTTGATCTACAACGGGCGTAATTAACAAAATAACATTTACTTGTTTATAATTGTTCAAACAAATTAGAAAAATTATGTCTCGTCCTTAAGTGACTCAGAATTATAAACTAATTATCAAATATTTGACTGCAATTATCATCTTCTCCAGTTCCCAAAATGAATGCTGCTGCAAGCGGTTCTAAAGAATATGTGACGGAAACGGATAAAAGTAAGTTATACAAGTTCAAATAAGAGGTTGGAACAGGACATTCTTATATTATCATGTATACGATTTAAGGTTTCATCTTGCTTGATTATATTCTAGGTGATCAAACTTTGGAATCGTATTAATAAATGCTTTAATAAGTGCGCAAACAAATTTACATAATTTCAAAATCACTTCATTTAGTACACAATATCTAGAATCCTGTTAATAAATGTTAATTTATAACTGTTTGATATTTTAACATGTCAAATTTTAGAATGCTATCACTACAAAGTAAATGCAATATATGCAAGGACGTACGTCAGTGAGATAACAATTGAACATCAGAAATATTGATATTGCTCTATAAAATGTATACAGTAAAAAAAAAACTAAAATATATCACCTTTGTAAAGCTTTAGTCACCGTGATTTTAGAATAAAATACTAGCTAAAGATAGTAGAATTTACGGATTTAACATTTTTACTGGTTTGGTTCTAGCACAACTAGTATGTCCTTTGTAGACGAAATGCATGTCTTGAGTAATCTTAGAAGCCAGATATTTTTGATCAGTTGTTTGAATACCAAACAAGTATCAAATGTCATAAAAGTAAATTCATAGTGGCATTTTCCTTGACTTTACCAGTCAATAAGATCATGAATATATTAAATAAACGATATTTGACGTCTCCCATATAATTTGTATGTGTTGTTAACTTCCAATCTCAAACACTGATTTTATGATAAATGCATTTGATTTTAATTTACCATGATGCCTGAACCCCGCACTTTTAGTGACAATTCAACAAGCATTTTGATGTCAAATGTGTCTGATCATTTATTATTTGTTTCTGGATATTTTGTATTGGGAAATTTTTAGCTAGTTTCACTTTGAAATTAATAAATTCTGGGATTTAAACCAGCCGACGAACAAGTGAAAACAAGAATCCGGGTTCTTTGACAGAGTAAGCTACTTCTCGTCCGCATGTTTAACCAGTAAACCAATTGTAAAATTACTTTCAGTTGTACATGTCAAAATAATATACAAGCCAATCTAACAATATTGTCAAGTCAAATCTGCGGCCTGAAAAAAGTTAATCACGATCAATTAAATGGTGATGTCGGCCTATAAAACCTAGTAAAAATTCAGCCGTTATTCTGTGCAACCCTTCTGCAGAAATTGATCATTCACAAACCTTTAAGCGCACCAACCCAAATCGAACTTGATCCGTTTCGTCTAGTTCTTCCATTGTAGACTTTGTACACATTTAAATATGCTAAACAATTAAAATTCCATTTTGTAATCTACAAGGATATATTAGCTGAAAATATATTCACTTTATGTTGGTGATACTGTCGAATGTAATACATTTTATCAGTGGGATATCCAGTGAACGAAAACAAAAGAAAATTCACTCTTCTTATGATAGAGTTGAGAAAGTCAATAATGAAACAATACCGGTGACGATACTGATCGAAAGTTATTTCTAAATAATAATTGTACATTTTAAAGAAATTATTTCTTAAACTGTGTTATCAAAAATATACGTTCAAATACACGATGTTTTATGTTCAGTATTTGTAGAGATAATTGCTTTAGAAGCTTGTGAAACTGAAATTTAAAAACTGCCAATCTTTGCTGCATATTGATAAAAAAAATTAGAAAACATCATGAACAAACAAAATCGAAAGATATTTCGGGTCACCAATTTTCTAAGTGTTCCAAAAAGTCCTTAGCATGTTACAATTTCCAAAAGTATACCTTTTTTTTACACCTAAGTTATCGAGCACACCGCTCTGCTCTTGTCACATGTACATTCAATAGAGAACTCTTGTCTTTTTGTGAGTATAAACATTTAAAAGTATGTTAGCGCAGGTTAAAAAATTAAAGAAAACTATTTTTATAAAGTAGGTATCTTTCTACTCTTTGGTATACAATTTTAAGAAAAGGTCGTCTCGAGTTTTGTACAAGTATTTGCGGTCTTCTCGATCTATTCATATTCAATGTTTACATCGACATAAGGTCTGTTTGATTTTGCTTAGTAACTTAATTTCAAAAGTGTCAATCTTTGCTGCATATCAATCGATTCCTTTGGAATTTTTTTTCCTGACTTTCTCTGTTATATATACGAATAATTAGCATGTTCCAGAGAGGTATACAGACAGTAAACAAATAAATTGAAGTTGGTACTCAAGGAATTTATTCGCATAGCAACATTTTTAACCAATTTTGCTCCAAGAATCTATAGTCTGCTGTACTCGTCGTTTGCTACTTCAGGATACTAATTCTTTTAGTTTTTGTATATAATATTATAAGAACTGGACCCTTATTTAATTTATTAATATTTTCTTCGTCTTCTGCAGATGTGAGGAAATGTCGTGTCGAATGGAGACTTGAAACACCAAGCACATGGAATTTACCAGAAATAAAAGACACTTTAGAGAAATTTTCTGCACTGTTACGACAATGGTTTGAAATAGAATTTGTTTACGTTGGGTCCCTAGTTATAAAAACATTGGTGCAAAAAAATGTTTTAGATAATCGAGATGAAATGCGAACAGCAGTACATTTATTTTTGGAAAAGTTTGTTGAAGTTTGTAGAATCAATTCAGATGAACATACTGTCATCAAAGTAGCTTTGATTGTAGAGCCTGATGACTTGGATAAAGAAGGTAGTATAGATTTCCTATAGTTTTCTATTGTCATATAGGTGCATCATGTATCCAAATGAACAATAATGCATACAATACGAATTCCCAATGTTGTATAGAGATAATAAATAACATATGAAAAAGCGTCTGCCACCATATGTTGATTGTGTTAGTTTCATTAGTCATAGAGTGTTAAAAATTTACTTTTGCAATTTGACGTTTTTAAGTCATACTGTAAAGAAGAAAAAATATCAATTGATGAAAATGCCTGTGCTTTTATAGTGATCTAGTGATTCAGTTTTAAAAAGTATCTTAAAATTAATTTAGCAGTTAGTTTGATTGCATGTAAACAACAATTCGTCAATCGGTCTATTATAATTAAATTATTATACAAGGAATTTTGCTGTACATCAATGAGACATATATGCCTTATTAACTTTCTAGATGAAACAGTTAAACTGCCTTTTTTGTCCGAATTCTCTTCAGTATGGTTGTAAGTTTATTTCATTAATATTGCTTTTCATGTACAAATATGTCCATTTGTTCATCTGTTATAAAAGACATGTTGTTTTTAAAATGTCCTTAATAGTCAGGCATGGTATATACTCATATAAGGATCACTGAAAATGGATAATGGGGTAACATTTCAACATTTAATATGTTTCCTTTTTAATGAAAGTGCTTTTATTTCTTCTAAAAATTTGCTGATGTGTTCGTCCTTTTGTGATTTTTTTCTATCGAATTGGTCAATTAACTGAGTGTATATGTTAATATATATATCTAAAATATATTTTCCAAAATAGAGGCAAAAGAGCAATTATCGAAAATAGAAATGAATAAGAAAGACAAAACAACATGCATATTCTGCAACAAAAGCTATGATTGTCAGAATTGTAAACAGAAAGCTAAAACTATTTCACGCCTAGAAGATGAACTATCTGGTAAGTATTTTCAGTTCTATGTATGAAGCAAGTGTGTGTTCTTCTTACACGTCTTTGAGTTCAAATGTAATCAAATTTTTTATTCAAGATTATTAGTTTATTTTAACCTTTATATCAATGTTGCTGAATATATATATCATCTGTTACACATTGTGCTAGTGAACTAATACGATATACAATAATTTAGAAAGGGTTCAGATGGGCTGAGATAGAAGCTCGAATACGATATATACGGGGTCAGTAAATTTCATATTCGCTCTCACCCCATATGGAATTTACTGACCCATATATATTGTATAAGGTCACTACATCGTGTACCTGTAGCACACTGTGTAACAAATTTATCTCAAAATAAACCAATACGCCCACTAACCCAATATTAAATAAACAGGGTCTCCACGTGTTTGCGTTTAACCAATGATAGTCCTAGAAATGTATAGGATGACAAAGGAGCTTAATATACAAAAGCATTGCTGTCTAAAGTTATGGTAGTTTTGGCAGAGTATAGTTTACCATGGCTTTCCAATATTTAGGATTGAGACCTAAAGATAAATCATTTAAAGCAGTTCGGATGCACAAAGTATATAAAGAGCTATATTCACCAGCTAGCACTTGGTTGATACCACTGCTGCTGGACCGGGTGTTCCCGAGTGAATCATCAGCTCAGTAGTCAGTGATTCAGTTCTGACATGAATTATGTTTAAATTCTCTGTCGATAAAGGAAATAAAATCTTCAATTAACTTAGGTTCCACCTTCTTAAGGCAAAGTTGACGTTGTATGAATTCAACTGTTTTTTTTTTTGCTCCATTTTGTTCATATAGCTCTTAACGATTCTACGTATTTACACGTTCGTTGCTTTGAAATGTTAAGCGTTAGCGTAACTTGTAAAGGTTAATCCAGAAAAGCAATTGGGATGCACATTACTAATAAAGTGTAATTTTCTTAACCTATATTAAGACATGTGGATTAGCAATATTCAAGTTTTGGCTACAAAAACTACAAACATGATCATTGATGCTTTTAGTTGGGGTTTATTGCAGACAGGAAATATATGGTAAGTCTTTTTTTCTGACAGTAAGGTAATTAGGTCTTTCCACTTTTCCGTGGAAAGACATATTGAATTTGTGTTGATTATTATCATTATTAATGTTTTTTCTTCCGCCACTTTTATTTCTTGCGAGAAGATTTTATTTCGCAAGATGACGCTAAGATATTTGGATTATGATATCGAACAGTTAATACGCTTTTGAAACTGACCCCGTTTAACCGAACACTATTTTTTGTATGCGTTAATTCCCCAAACACTGTTTTTCTTGTGATTGCTTCTCCTTCGCAACCGTAAAAGAAAACGACAAATTAATTTTTCCAAATTGCTCATTACATTCCTCAGGTTGTCGAAAAAAAGGTTGACCTAAGCGATCCAGAGACTCCATATGGGGGTTATGTCCCCTTATATATTTGATATAAATGAAATGTATTTGAAAAGGGTAAATCATAAATAATAAATATCTAGGGTCTTTTGATTTGAGGTCCAGGGTACAACAAAAAGAAAAGGAGTTCAAGGTCATGTTTTGGATTTTGATTTGGCTAATTATAGCTTCTCATCAGAAACTGTATAAGATATCGACATAATATTGTTACATAATTATTAGTTACGACATGTCGCAACACATATGCTTTGGTTGATAGGGTACGTTGACAATAATATGAGTTTTATCCCCTTTTATATTTAAAATTAGCTGTATGGTGCTATAACTCGTTAACCATATTGTTAATAATTGCGCTAACGTTAAACGTACCCTTTTGCGGTGCGGCCGCTATCTTTGAGACGTCGCGTTATTGTGATGTACGATTATGTTTTTTTAATAGAAAGTTGTAATGGCAGACGTTTATATCTATAACGCCTTAGTCAAGCTTACGATCACGATAAACAATACACAACGCAACCCATTAATCTATATTGGTGCCTTGACTTCAAACAGAGAGAATGGACATCAGCCGATTAAAATCTTTGAGAGCGGGGAACAGAGCAGCGGTGACAAAAGTTTTTAAAAAACTGGAGGAAGCCATCGGAGATTCGCAAATAGACACGGAGGAAGTATCAACATTGCTCGACGCAGTTGAGAAGAAAAAGAAGACGTGAGCCACAATAGACGAACAGATACTAAATGCAGTCGAATCTGAGGATATTACTGATGAAATACTTGAAACAGATGAGTATTATCTAGAATAAGAGGGTAACATTAGAAAATTCAAAAAGTTCTTGAAACCCGTAGCACAAACCACATCTTTAATACTAGATTCCAACGCCCCAGAGTTTGTACCGTATTCAAACCCATTTACACATGCAAGTCAGCAATTATCACAATCAAGTTCGACCTCAAGTAATAACCATCGCCTATCAAAGTTATCGCTTCCCAATTTTAGTGGAGATATTTTTCAATGGCAATATTTCACGATTCATCACAATCAAACATTAACTGACATTCAGAAATTTTTGTATTTGAACTCATTGCCACAATATGAAACTGCAAACGTAATTTCAGGATTGATCATGACAAATCCAAACTATCATAAAGCAATTGAATTATTGAGAAACCGCTATGGCCAACCACACAAACTCATTAATGCATATATGAGAGCGCTACTTGATATACCCGCACCTAATGATAATTTAGAAAGTTTGAGAACATTTCACGATAAATCAGAAGCATACATACGCGATCTATAGTCTCTCGGACTTTGTCAGGAAATGTACGGATCGCTATTGATACCAGTGATTCTCGGGAAATTACCGCATGAAGTACGGAAAAATATTACACGCGAAAACGGGAGCGACCCTTGGAATATCCAATTGATTAGAAACGCAACAGGTAAAGAAATTTCTTTTCAAGAGTCGGGATACGCGGATTATACACACAAGTATTCAACCGCTACCCCTAGCGCAAATTTCATAACAGGCGTTAAACGAGTAAATACAGATAAAAGCCGTCCGATAAACACAACAGACAAATCATTACCCTCGAATCGGAAGAAACAATGCACATATTGTGACGGAAACCACTGGCCAAACGAATGTAAAGAGGTCATAGATCACGATAAAAAGTCGCAATTATAAAAGAAAAGAGGTTATGCTTTAATTGTTTAGGTAAGCACAAAGTAGCCGATCGTAAATCTAAGAATACATGTAAGTGTTGCCACCGGAAGCATCACTCTTCATTATGCAAAAAGATTTCGTTCTCAAATAAACATCCTATTGAAGTTGAACAACCGCAAAATAAAGTAGACACAGAAACTTCTATGTTTTATACCGCTAGCAAGGAAAGGTCCAATGTTTTATTGAAAACCGCAATCAGTCCAGTCGTTCACTAGAATACATGTATAGATGCAAACATACTATATGACGAAGGAGCTCAACGCTCATTTATAACCGAAGAGCTAGCAGCTAAACTGGACATTATAAAAGAGGGATCTGAAACTTTGAGTATAGCTACATTTGAAAGCAATACAAAAAAGATGAGAAATCTTGACAAAACAACAATTAATCTAAATTAAAGTCTAAAGAAGAAGAATTAATTTCTATTAACGTTTTAATTGTATCAACCATTGCTTCATCACTTCAAAGTCACAACATAAGAATGACGCAGAATTTTCCATATTACCGTGGTCTACAATTAGCCCACCCAGTCATGGAAGGAGAGCAATTTGAGATATCCTTATTAATTGGAGGTGATTTTTATTGGGACATATTTCAAGACAAAATAGTGCGTGGAAACGGTCCAACCGCAGTTAGCTCGAAAATTGGATATTTACTTTCCGGTCCTGTCCCTACACGAACCAGTAATGCATCTTTCTCAATGATGAATATATTTGTATGTCACAAACAAGAAGAGTGTGATCATGAAAAATTTTGGAAGAGCTTGAATTGTTGGGAATTGACGCCAAAGAACAAAAAGATCCAGAACTGGCCGAATCAATTGAAAGTTATATACAGACCTCAATTACGAAGGAAAATGAAAGGTATATTACAAAATTGCCATGGAGAGAAAATGCGCCAGAGCTACCGACAAATGAAGACATCGCAAAACGCAGAACGGAAAGCCTTATTCGACGCCTAAAGAAGGATCCCGAGATGTTCCGAAAGTATGGAGAGATAATTAGAGATCAAGAAAAAGAGGATTCATTGAAAAGGTATCTGATGAAATTACATGCACAAACAAGGTTTATTACATTCCGCATCATCCCGTAAAAATGGATCCAGTCACCACCCCGATACGCATAGTATATAACTGTAGCTGTACAGCGAACGACAGTAGTCCTTATCTTAACGATTGCTTAGCAACATATCCACCAATTATGACAAATTTGACGGAGATATCAATACGCTTTAGAATGTATAAAAATGCGGTTACAGCGGATATTGAAAAAGCAATTTTGCATATTGAATTAAATGTTAGTGACAGAGATATCACAAGATTCTATTGGTTAGAAAATCCCATGGACGTAGATAGCCGTTTGATAACATACCGGTTTAAGGTTGTACTTTTCGGCGCCACCTGTTCGCCATTCGCGTTAACCGCTACGCTAATGAAACATTTTACTACATCAACAGAATTACAGAGAAAGTTATACGTGGATAACGTCTGGACTAGTTTTACAAATGAACAATCACTTTTGAAATTCTACACGCAGTCAAGAAAATTATTGTCAGAGGCAGGATTCAAACTACGGTCTTGGAATTCTAATAGTACAGAATTACAGAACGTTGCTGGACGAGACAAGATCGGCGACAATGACGCCATTGTCAAAATTCAAAGCATGAGATTGGATAGGGAATCCGACGATCTGAGATTTAAACAGATGGGTTTTATAGAAAAGGACAAAATGGTAACAAAGCGTGAGGTTTTGCGCACATCGTCTAGAATTTTCGACCCCCTAGGATTAATCACGCCAATAACGGTAAAAGCTAAGCTGTTTATGCAGACTCTTTGGAAAGCAA